CTAATGTTCCAGTATCAATAACTACTCGAGTAACTTGAACGACGTCAAATCAACTTTCCTAATAAATTTGACATAGTAAAATAAATCTATGAAACATGAAACTACACTCATATATACATATACATGAAGAAAATATACAGCTAATAATTCCCAACTATAGGAGTTTAATTACTTGATAACATGTGATAGATTATCATGAAAACTGGTGTGATTCAAAAGGTGCAATGTTCTATCAGAAATGTAAATATTTCGACTGATTTTTGGTAAATAAAATATCATATTCGTTCAAACTAACATATCATGACGATGTTAGATCAAAGAACAACATATTGTATGGTTTACTAATTATATGTTAGCTGTAACAAGAGAAGTCAAAATAAATCTTACTTAAAACAAAAAAATAAAAGCCATGAATAGGACTACGTAGACCATTTGTACAGTTATTCTTAAAATAAAAAAGGTTGACCAAGAACTACAATAGTAAACTTTATTTACACAACTGAGTGATGGATACAAACAACAAAACTAATGTCATGTGAAATGGCATTAGTAGCCCATTTTAAATACAACTATCTCGGAGGCATCATTACACGCGTGTACACTTATTTATTTAAATTAAACTACCCATACTCGTTAGTTGGGATATAAACTATAACTGAAGTTTGAAATTATGGTTGTTTTATTTATGAGATATCTATACGATTATTTTTTTTTAAGCTTCTTAAATAGTCACCAGAACACCTCCAACAGTAATCAAGTTCAATATCATTCTATTGAAATAAAAATACTACATAAAGTGCATTTCGATTATGCACTAAATTTGAATTAACTAATCAGTAAATCCATGCATCACTAGGTGTACATATATTCTTTTTGTGTAATTTGTAGTTTGATTTAAAGTGCAACAAGGAATACTCAAAAGTTAATTAATACTACTGACAATAAGTGACGTTTAATGATCTCCATGATATTGAAATACTAATATTTGAATGAAGAATATTCTATTCGATAAATTCTCTTCAGGTTCTACAATTATATTATTAATCTAAAAAATGGCCAGGTTAAGGGCAAAGTACATCATTCAAATCATGTGAATTTAGGATTGATACACAAAATATAAAATTGTTAATGTTGATATGACTCATATAGAATGTTAACTTGAATTAGCTTATATGTAAAGTGAAAATTCAAGATCCATGATCAGAATAAATATAGGTCAGATAGGGTGAGAGAAATAATAGTGAAATTACAATTCAATCAAATGTTTAGTGGAAGACTATATTGTGTGGAAAATTAGTAAGGCGTAATGAGGAGGGATGAATGAGAAGTGAATGAATCATATATTGGGGAGATGAATAACTACGTTTATTCTATTTTGCTTGTCAATCCTAAATTCCAGTGGTTGAAATCATGAGTCAATTGAAGCTAGACCACCATTTCTAAAGTCTCCACAAAACCCTTCTGATAATCCTAAATTCACATGACTTTAAACGATACATCTTGCCATTAAACTGGCCATTTTTCGGACTATTAATTTAGATATATAATTGTAGAACCTGAAGAGGTGCTCAACGAGTTCGTGAAGTATAACGTAAAGTTCACTGAAACGAAAACTACTATTGAATAAATGAAGTAGCAATATCAATTATTTCATACTCGTTAAAAGTTTAATGATAATTTTTCCCACGTTTTTGCATGACTTCGCACCCAAAACAGAATATGTACGAGGACGAAAAAACTATACGATGGGATAATCAAAAGTTTAATAATGCTCTTTGTAAATTCGTACGATGAGTTGATAAGAGTAGTTGACTATTTATGTAACGTATCCATGACGTTAAGATTTACGTATCAGGGTCTTAGTCAAAGTTTTATGCTTTTAAGGTTATTGACAGCATTCGACTACTTAATTCAAATTAGATGAATATGAAGTGAAGCCTACAACGAGTTTCCTAAAGGTTGAGTGGTTTCCAGATGACATGTTATTGGACGACATGTTCGGAGTGAGATGAATACCATTGTAAATGTGTTGGTTTGTAATCCACAGTAATATACCTTGAAGAATATAGTGTAGTACAATAAAAAAGACTTCGTTGCGTCATAATAAACAAAAGTACTGCATTTTTTGCAAACTCGGTAAACATGTATAAAGGTGTAACGCTTTAGATTGACGGTTCAACAATGTCGATTGCATTCCTTTAAAGAGGAAGTCATGGCCGAGATTTAAAACATGGCTTAGTTCAATTAATAAAAATGCCAGTGACTGGTTAGGAGCAAGTCAAACTCTATGATGATCTTAAAGCGAGTTTCACCTGACTATATATATATACTCTAAGCCCAGACGTTTAGAACAATGGATGGGATACATTAAGGAGCAGTTCAGCTGGCATTCAGCTACTATACGGCTACCCACAGTTTCCAAAGACCCTTAATGAAATATTGAAGTAGCCCCCCCCACCGAAAAAAGCTATAGCTAATCTGAAACGAGGAAGAGCAGTTGGTCCAGATGGATTGGCTTCTGAGGTCTTTAAGGATGATGATTCAGTTTTATCGATAAGGTGGACTAATATTTTAGCTGAAATCTGGGAACTGAATGTAATCCCATCTGGTAACAATCACTGGTCGTCCTAATTTGTAGGAAAGGATCAAAATCATCCTGTGATAATCATAGAGGGATTAGTTTGACTAACATAGCATCTAAAATACTAGTCTCGATAATTATTGGGTACCTAATAAAGGCTCGTGAATTGCAAACACGAGAAAACCAGACTGGCTTCGGACCTGGTCGTGACTGCATCGACCACATATTCATCGTTCATCAGATTTTAGAACACAGGCACACTTATCGGCGTCCGACAATGATGGTCTTTCTTGACTCAAAATCAGCATTTGACTCTGTTGCCCGAGAGGTTCTGTGGCAGTGTCTGTTATTGAAAGACGTACCTCAAAAATACATAAACCTTGTGAAGACTCTTTACTCGAACACTACCAATCGAGTTAGAGCTTATGGCAAACTGTCATCTGAGTTCGCAACCTCAAGTGGTATCTGACAAGCCTGTTCATCACCTCCATTTTTGGTTAACTTCATCATAGACCTATTGATGGAAATAACGTTCTCGTCGACTGAAGTTTTGGGCATTGATATCCTTCCACGAGGTCTACTTATCGACTCAGTACACGCAGATGATGTAATCCTGTTTCGCTAAGACGCTGATAAAATGCAGTCTTTTGGTAGTACTGAGCAGCAATACCAGGATGTTTGGGATACGTCGATATACGAACTAAGTTAGTGTCATGTTGAATACCATTCTTAGTTGCATTAGTGTTTGTTAGGTGACACCTGAACTAAGGATAGGGAATGAAACAGTCGAACGCGTTGACAATTTCACTTATCTCGGAAGTCTGGTCAGCCCTAATGGGTTGGTGTCTGACGAAATCTCTGCACGGATTTGAAAAGCTCGTGTGGCTTTTGCCAACTTACGTCACCTATGATGAAGGCGAGATATCCGTCTATCAATTAGAGGACCAGTATACTGCGCGGCAGTTCGTTTTGTTTTACTTTACGGCTGCGAAACGTGGCCATTAAGAGTGGGAGATATTCGTAAACTACTTGTGTTTGATCGCCGATTTTTTAGAAATATCGCCAGCATCTGCTGGGATCACTGGGTAAGTAATAGTGAGGTTAGGCGCACTGCATTAAGGAATGATGGTAAATCTTCATCTACTGAGATGGGTGGGTCACCTGTTATGCATACCTGAATACCTATTACCAGGACACGCAATGCTGACTAGTCTTGGGGATGGTCAGAAGAAAGTTAGGAACGACCGAACCAAAACGTGGCATTAGCTCTTAAAGTCTGAGCCATGTTGGTAGATGCAGACTACTTGGTTTGGGTTCGCGCAATCATCGGAATCAGTAGTGGTTGGAGACTCTGGGTGACATGGCTCAGAATCAATCACAATGACGTAGGCGTATACACTCTTTGTCATCCCTTAAACGGTGAAATTAAAACTGCTTTATACCTTTCTTTCTACCAACTAATTCTTTCTTCCTGTACTATATCTTTATACACAATCATTCTTTTATATATTACTACGATTAAAGTAATTACTATGAATTTGGTGTTCATTTTATGCTTAGGAGGTGTGGCAACTTGGACCGATGCATACATGTGCCTGGTCCTACGTTGTAGCTGACTGACTGATATCAGATATCATTATTTAATAAAGAATAAAACTGCAGCGACATTAAGTCAGTATAAAAACGAACTGCAAGCGCGGTACACTACAGACAAATCACCAATACTAGAGATATCCCTAAAGATATTTCTGAATATTATCAGGATGAAAGTTGTTGAAAACAAGTAAGCGAAATGTGTATAGGAAAACAAAAGGGTTCAGAAGTCTAGATAGACAGATCATGGTAATAAAAATTACATTAGCCTGGAAGTATGAGAGGTTTGGGAAATGCAAAAGGTAAGAAATATTACTATTTTTGAAACGTTTGGTTCGATTTACTTCAATCCTACTCACTGCCTTCTCGAGGCGGGGGTGTTGTTTACGAAATTGAGAGGACGAAAAGCGAATGTCCGGCGCTTTAACCGGGTTGGTGGACATGGGGAGTCTACCTAGGGGAGTTGGAAAACCCTGATTCCAAACCAATGGTGCACATGGGCTGGTTCCAGGATCCTGAAGGAACAAATGGCGTATGGACCAATTTTTAGTCACCGGCTGTCATGGGGCTGCATCCCCTTACGTTGCACCACTGCCTTGTAGATCAGACCTTCAGGTCAAAGGCTCCGAGTGTGGCTCCCTAAGAAGACCACGTGCTTCGGTTCGGGCACCCAGGCAGTATCACAGCCCTCACACCAATGAAGTGACTTGTGTGGCGCATATGTATTCGGTGCCCCTTCGTACCAATATTTATGTGTTCAAATAAATAAATATTTTGGGAGATTATTAGATAAACTGAAATGGAAATCTAGCCTTATGAAATGTACCTTTGGTGATTTGAAATAATTCCATGATTACACAGTCATTTGATTTTTTTCTTCTTCAATAGTAATTGATAATCGTGTGCTTTTATGTGCATAATGTAATGAGTTGGTGTAGAGTGTGATACCGTCTAGTTGCACAAATAGAAGCAATGAATAGTCGTAAAGAACCCTTCTGTAACTTTGATCGAAATCTCTACAATAAAGTAGTAAATTATTTACGTTATTAGATAGTTTTTACTCTTTGTTAACTAGGAATTAGGAGTAGTAATTTTAACGGAAAGTGATTAGTCAGAATTTTAAGTGGAAGATCACTGAGTCTTTATACGAATGTGACTATCTTTAGATTAACTTCAGATGCCAAAATAGAGTGGTACACACAAACAGTTTAGTAAAATCAACACAATAGTTAATAGGAATCATACGGTGTGAACAAGGTAAAGCAATAATATAGAACTAACTATAAAGTCCAAAATTTTTCGAAAATGATTGAGCAATAAACATCTCCATCCCCATCGAAGCAAATAAACGGACAGCCCATGCATCATTATCTAGGTTTCCGCTAGCAAATCCTTGGTAAGCCATGTCAAATACAGGGAAAAGTTTTTTCTCCTGAAAAAATAAGGTGAATAAACAAACTATTCAAAAAGCACTCGTTGATTATTTCGAACCAAATGAAAATGTTCAGTTCGCAGTTAGCTTCTAATATAGTAGGAGTAAGCACAGACTACTTAATGACTACCTACAAATTACGAGATACTCCAGAAAGCTTTGGTTACTGAATATATTTGCTCATATGAACAAGGAAAAACAATGTAAGGTCACGTAAATACGTGTAGATAGATCTCGCAACGTCTAACACAAAAAAAATAATCAGCACAATCTGACATGATCGTGAAAGTGAAATTAAAACCTGAAGATACTATTACAGACTGATTGAGTTCACGCGAATGTGTTCATTAAAAGACTATCTCAATGAAATCAGGCGACAAGCAAGAGTTTTGATGTAACACTTTGCACGTTCGTACATTAATCACCATCGCAACAAACCATTCATGAGGTCTTCGAAAAAATCCCTATTTATTTAATTATTGAAGTACTGGCGAGAAACAAAATGCTAGATGTGAACACAAACTTAACGCTTAGACTTAGTATAAATGTAAAAGGTCACGAAATCACTGATAATTTGAACTGGAACGAACATACATTTGGCATTCAGGAAAGTATATGTTATTTATTATTTAGGTAAGACTTGGTACAGTAGGTCAGCAGAAAAAGGGGAAACAGACGAGATAATATTGCGAAGAAATAAAGGAGAGAATGGTAGTACAATCAATAAATGAACGAGTAAGAAACAGTCCAGTCAAAAATACACCTGAACTTCTTCCATTTAAAAAAGCTCATCTAACTTTACGAAGGGAGTGACAGAAAAATACAACAGAATCACCACTGATTTCTATTCCGACCATATATGACAGCGTCCAAAACCACTAGTTTGAATGACCTCTATGACCCCAATCATGATGACCTGACAGAGCCAGTTGTATACGGTTTTCTTTTACTGAAAGATATGTCACAAACTGACTATCCGCGTTTTCAACTCAGTCATGACGTGGAGAGATAACTCCCTATAAGAAAGCCGTCGGAATGGCATTTGTGTGGCATGACCAAACCACCGAAGTCGATGTTTTAAGATGGTCCTAATTGAATCCTCATCAGTATCCAAATATACATTGTTGGATCTCAGCACGGTTAACATGGTGCTGTCATCAGATATGAGCAGTTCTTTGGAAACAACAGCGTTCAAACAAGGAGGGCTGAGAATATCCTTAGGTCGGAGGGCTCGGATTTCACAAGCAAATATGAAGACTGGTCTTAACAAACAGTTATAAACCTGACCCTATACACCCAGATCGATATTACAACAGCGCTGAAAATAGCTTACATTTATACAAGCCGATCTGGCTTTTACAATACATGGATTGACGTTTTCTGCCACGCAACCACTGGAACTCACAATTAACTAAATACATGAATTTTTGACTACTTCTAGCAGTTTACCATAGAAAGCGAGTACAGGTAAAAACTAACGTTATTCTTGCAAGTGTTTTGCATTTCGAAGTTACAAAGTATTTACAGACACTAATGTCTAACTGACCAAGTGTAATTTAGATAAGCTGAGTTTTGTCGGACTGTAAGTCAACGTAATTCAAGTAGTTAAGACAAAAATCTCTACACGAAACAGGCCAACTCCATATCAATATACCCCTTTTATTGCTATTTAGGCGCGATACCAAGGGAAAAATTTAAAAGGAATTGCAAAATTGTGAGATGTTCCCTCACACTACTATTGGTTCAGTACAATCGAGAAAAATGATTGTATTTTCTCGATCTACCTGAGGTGTATGCGTACATGGTTGCGTTAGAGTCCTTAATAAACCCTCGCTTCGTTGGTCGGATTAGTGTTCGCCCGCCATGGAGAGAAGTAGTCTAGTTAACGTTGTTGAAGCGACAGACATACTGAACTGCCCAACTTTCAGAATGGCCCTCGATGTTGCTAATTCGTGCTCCATAAACTTTACAGATTGTTTCGCTGACATCGGACTTCTTTCGGACAGTGCGTCGAGTGGGTTGAAACAACTTCTGGAAGTTATCAGATACAACTGTGCCTCCAATTCGTTATGATGCTTTGATTAACAGGTGTTTCGGTACTTAGGTAAGCTTCGAGTAATTTTGTGTGTTAAGGATTTACGTGCATCACACGAATAGACAGATAGACAAAAGTGGGTTGTGGTCTGCACAAAACTGAAGGCGATCACTCTCAAATTAAGACCAATGACTCCTAGATGGTCATTCAAAAGACTCTCTGCCATGTCTCGAGTTTCGATCTACGAAACCCAGGCTAAAAAGGTATCTGTCGGGTGAAGTTTATTTGAAATGTCGTTTGGTTGATGGTAAAATTTATTGTAGGTTGCATCTGGGCTGCGCCATGCACCCTGCAGAAGGACATTATCGACATAGATTCTGGTACAGATAAGTGTTGCTCCAAGTTGCCATAACTGATTAGCATGATGAAATGAGAAAAATAACTAAATAGCGAAGTAATAATGGTGAGAAGGACTGAACGGCGGAAATATGATTTGAGAAGAGTGAAAAGGCACGCATGAAGGAATAGTGGAATTCATGATTGAAGGACAGATGAAAAGCAAATGCATCTGAGACACTGGGAACGACTCTGACCCATATCACGCAACGTATACCGCCGTTAATGCACAGAATGCAACTTGGTAGTCTGCTCTGGTTCACACCAATAAATGCGCGAGCAAAATGGTGAATAAAAAAAGGCGCACACCAATAAGAGAGACTATCATAAAGGTCCATATTGATCGAGAGCATCGAAAGGGGTAATAAAATTTTAAAGGTTTTGAAATTCGGTCCGTTTAGCGTCTGTCCTTTGGCCTGTACGACCAATCAGAAAAGTAGTTCTTTAAACGCATACTTTCAATAAATACTGTAATTTTTCGGATTCAATAACGATCTGTCGATTAATCTAGTGATGTTATTTCATACATCTATTTCAGCCAGAGAAGGTGAGGATCTCTTTGATCTGTCTAATAATTGGTGTGAAGATTGACAGTAGTAAGGCTTACAAAATGTATCTCCGCTCAATAATGGACATCATTTGATATGATACCTACAACCCTTTAATTCTGAGAAACTAGCCCACATCTATGAGTCAATATGAAATATCAAAGGAAATGTTAAATCCAATTACAAAACCTTACAATAATTTTTTCTAATGAAATCCATCTACATATTTAATTAGACATCCTTGATTTATTGAATGCAAAATTTCACAAGTCAGGAAAAATTAGTTTACCTTGATAAGTAATGCCAGTTGATTCCACTGATCATGAGATAAATCAGTCCCAGTTGGGTTATGAGCACAGGCATGCAGAATGACAATAGCTCGTTCAGGGGCTTTGTTTAGGTCCTCTAGCATCCCAGTAAAGTTGACCTTTCTAGACGAAGGATCCCAGTAACGATACTCCTTTATGTCCAAACGGACAAGGAGAGATATACCCTTGTGGTTAGCTAAAGAAATTATTATTCAACATTTGCATACGCCATGAAGGGTTGGAAATGTAGACAGTAGTACATTTGGAAATATTTGATAGGAACTGGAGAGCTAAATACACTGCACCTGTTCCTCCCAACGTTTGACAACTGTCTGCCTAGTACGAGGATAGTAAGAGGTGAATGTAATTACCTTTTTAGAAGCAATCAGTTTACAATCTTCCCCAAGGACGAGTTTAGTTGCCGCTTTGCACATAATATCAATACCAGATACTGGAAGATATTCCTTATCAAGGTTATGATCAGCCGCCATGAGGGACTCAACCGTTCGAACTACAGGTAGAACCCATGGTTTGCCTTCATTTGTGCGATACGCTGTAACTTTTATTCTTGATGAACACCTAAAACTTACCACCAACGCCAAGGTTAACTTTGTGAGTATCTTTGTCTTCATTACATGCTTCTGTTAGTGCATATACTTCGATTGGTGGTGCATCATGAACTAATTCGAAAAACGACATCACTATCTGAAAGCTCCGAAACAAGTGACAGTCTACAAATCAGGCGCTCGCCCAACAACCTTAGACGTTTAACGCAACCTATAGGGATTAACAATAAATTTCAATATACTGTCATGTTACATTATTTTCCCTCACACCAGGCACTCTCGTAAGTGCTTGATATTGCCACTTGTCTTGTAAGCCTTGAAGTCATTAAGTATCTTGATTTTCATTATCAGGAATCCACGTCAATATTTAGTAAGTTACCGCTCAAAGAGGATGCCCTTACCATCTTCTTGATAGTCAGTAAAATAGTTTCATACCAGTACACCTCCCCCTAAAACCAAATTTTTTGTTCCTTCCCACTGTAACTTCAGTTAATTAAGTGGAGCTTAACCCATGTCAGTTGGGTACAACAATTGATATAGCCCAAATCGATATCGTCTGATAACATAAGATCAAATAACATCTACTTACTTTGAATGATCTGAATCTGCTAAAAATATTGAACGAAAAACTTTCACACAGTTTTTACCTCATCCTTTCATCATCTGATGGTTACTTTTTTCAGCAAAAGTTACATGACTTCTGGCCTTTCCTTTAGTTAGACTAAAACGATAACTTCTGGAGATGTTAATCGGAAATAACATTGGGTACCTTTATGGTATCATTAAAGACATACGTGTGGGACAGATCCTCGTACATCTGACCACTTGTAGTCACTTGTTTACCTTGCTTGTAGTCGCTGGTACTATGTCAAGCCCACGTAGGTTATTCTGGGATCCGGACAGACCAATTTTCCATACTCCTTAAGCTAACGTTTGACTTTTTCACTTATTCGCTTATTCCTCTCAGTGTTTCTACATGGTCGTATGTGTGTCAACTGCTTATCCTATTCACTATGTGTCTGTAACCAATTTTTGGTCTTACAGTAAATACTGAGTCACGCTTGGTTAAATCGAGTTGGCTCACTCACCTTCTCCACAACGCGTCATTTCGTTTCACTTCGCTTGTCTCGTCAGATCGATGAATGTAGGAAATATACGTTTTTGAAATTCATTCGCGTATTTGACTTATTCCGTTATTCCTTAACTAGAATGAAGTCGATGGAAATATACGACGGTTGATGGCATGTATATTTTAATAACAATCAGCATACGATTTAACTGGAGTCAGATAAAAAGCCACTAAATATCCAATTGAAGTGTTTTGTGCGAATGCGCGTGAAAATCCCTCCACGTACATACTTTCGGAATGTGAATTTTTGGTTTACTGTTGAACGTGGAATTATAGTTCTTGATCCCTTTAACTGTACATCTCGTCGAAATTTTTATTCTAAATGATATCGTTACTATCAATTTTTATTGTGGTTTTTGGCTTCCTTGCACTGCTACTGAACTTCGTTAATTCCTTTTGACTACATCAACGTTGCATTAATCGATGCTGGTTTCGACGACTTCCATATTGATTCAACCCTTTTTTTAATATGCTGCTCGAACTGACCTCAAATGATCATTTATTGTTCGAAAATCAAACCACTCTTTCAGAACTGGAAACACTCATTGTTGTAGCAGTTAACTAAGCCCATAATTAATATTCATATGGTTGAATATTACTTTGTGGACAAACTGCATGTGATCTATCCAAAAAGGAAATAATGATTTTGTTACACTAATAGAGACACTGACTTCTGGAACTGGTAATTATCTTGCGTTCACCATCAAGTCATCTGCTTGTTGTAATATAAGTTTGGATATTCGAGTAGGGCAAGCAATTGTTGTCTGAAAATCTGACAAAGTAGACAAAGTAGCCATAACTTAACTATTCCTCCAGACATGACTCAACTTCATTAGGCATGAATATTGTCTGCTTTGCTTCTCGTCCTTTCTTTTTCTTACGCTTTTTCAGCCCTCTCAAGATGTGCCACCGAAAACACATATGGATCGGGTCACTTCGCCTTGGATGTTCCTGGGGGATATAAGGTCACGGTTTCTAGAAGCTCTCAAATTCACGTGGATTTACTTTCGACCATCAGTTACACGTCGCAGCGCAACTTACATAAAGCACGGCAACTAATAATGACAATACGAGTCTTGCGAATATTGTTTACATTCATTTGTGAAAAGTGTCATGCCCCATAACTATGTGATCGATGTACCTTAAAAAAATATCGACCTCTGCAATCCAGTACAGAGAAGACTGTATCTTTTGTAACAATTTGATCTTGCTCGTAAACTGACATGTCTCACGTTACACACTGTTATTTGAGGATTAATTACTGTTACTACAACTATTTGTGGCTAGATCTCAGTCAATATTTTTAGAAGAATTGGCAACATTTACATTGTGATTGATTTCTTCTTGGTTCTGAATTTCAAGAGATTCGGGAAAGCTTATCAATGGTGGCATACTTGTGAAGCCAGAGATTCAGAGTCAAACCTAATTTTATCACCTTTAGGATTAGGATGTGTTTGGAACTTTAACGCTAGTGGTCTGTAACTAGCTGGCACGGTGTTCTATCTGGAAGAATTTTAACATCCCTGAAAATCTGTTTTCCACCGATGGTGTTGGAAAAATTTAGAAACTCACTGGCGTCTACAGATGAGTTGGATTTTGACGGGATCGGCGAATGCATACCAGGGTGACTTCTTTTTCAGCTTGCGCACACACGTGATGTTTTTAAGGCATGTGTGTCCTATTGCGTGCTTGACCATTTTATTTTTTTAAACACCTCTGAAACAACACAATTCAGGAAATTAGTTGTCTCGTTCATGTGGTCTACAATTTCTGAGTGGTTAAGGTTGAAAGATACGTAAGTGGATTAAGAATGTTCTAGTCAAATTGCACCCATCTCATGTCATCTGTATAGTTGCAGTGACCATTATCACCACTGTTTTTCACTAGGGTGGTCAAAAAACCTGGAATGGCGAGAACTAATATAAGCTTGTCCTTTTCAGGATAAACCGAGTGGCACGAATAGTTAAAACTGTTAGGAATTGTGTCGGTAGAAATGCTAGATAGCGTCCTTTTCCTACGTTTGGCTGGAAGTAGGGACTTTCAATTCTTTTTCATGTATGATAAGAAAGTTAGAAGTAACAAATGGATTGAACAAAGTGTTGAAATAGAAACAGGGATGCAAACAATCAAGGTAGAGCCCTCGAGATAGTTCTGAAATCGAGATCTGTGTTTGAAAAAATTGCGTGTCGGGGGCAATAATGAAGAACTTACGCGGAAATCACATCATTGTCTACACTGACTCGTATCGCGACAATTAGCCTTATGATACTTAGTACTTCTAAAGAACAAATTTAGGCTGGAAATTGAATCATATATTTGATGTGAGTAGAGACAGGTTGTACAGAATGACCACGTTTACGAGACTTAGCCTTGCCGTCCGATTGAATTCCTGAATATTCCTGCGTTCACAATTGCTGGTTTTCTCTCTGTGTTAGATGTTGACCAGTTTTTTTGATTGATCACATAATGTTCTTGTTGTTACGTTTGTACTATTTAAACTTGGATTAAATTTGATTTGGTTATTTATCCCCTGAAGAAGTGGCGTATGCTAAGTCACAAAACGTCAGAAAAAATATTTTTCTACTCATTGGGATACTACAAATATATTGTTTACTTATAACAATTTACCCAATTCTCAATTTATTCGAAATTATCAAGTCAAACCTTGCTAATGATACCTATATACGTTTATACGTAAATGTTTCTGAAAGGTGTTACCTCTCGTAATTCCAAGGGTATGTAATCAGTCACACTCTGGGAGAATCCTAGGATAACTGCATGCCTTGATCTGAACGCAACGTTCAGGCCTAGAATATGGCGTCAATTACGGTAGTCTATGAGTGAAACAGTTTTACGCATTTCATGAGTGAAATACAGTTGTACCCATTCCACCTTCAGTACATTGGATAAAATAAGTTGGAAAATAAGAGTGAACAATATTTAACGATGGTTATTACACATGTCTTATAAAGAACGATTCTATATTCACTCTCAAAGAAGTTGTGAAGAATGAAGCCTAGCAATTTAGACGCTTTCGTGGAGATATGTTCAGGAAAGTTAAGACTATACCAGTACTGTGCATCAAGGTCAGTTATTGAGGTGAGTTTCGGCAGAACGTTCTTGTCAAGTGTTAGTTTTACCTTAAAATGCGTGTCACAAGTACATGACCAGCCTTATTTTTCTGTGTTAATTTTCAAGGTCCAGCGCTTATACCAGTTATCTGCTTTGTTGAGTTCATGCTTGATTGTTTGCACAGTATTACGTACATTGCAAATATTTGTTTTAAAGATGACTTTTAAGTCATAAGTGGGCTGCAATTAAACGCAACTCAATGTCGTAAATGTGCCCTTCAGCTTAGCAACCAATCAGAATGAGGCGGGAATTATTACATCCCCCATCTTTGTAAGCAATGGCGGTCGGCTTTCTTCGTTCTGTGCTTCTTTCAGCTATTTCTTTTGTGTAGCTATGTAATTTAATGTCTCAGTGTGCTAAAATGCCGCAGTTAGTGTAATGTTCTATATGGTGTGAAGTTTATTTCGAATCAGCGATGTTTCCTGGGTTTTTGCTGCTTCTACTCAAGTCAATGTATTTCTTCGGGCAATCTGGCTAGTCTTGTGTTATAAAATGTCGGCCGGCTTTCTTCGTTCTGTGTTTTTTCCGCTATTTCTTTTGTGTAACTACAGAATTTAATGTTTCAGTGTGCTAAAATCCAGAAGTTAGTGTAATACTCTGAACGTTGGAGCAAATTTTTCCTGATTTTGCTTTGTTTTCTGGGTTTTACTTGCTGCTAATGAAGTCACTGTATTTATTCAGCTAAGCAGGCTAGTACTAACATAAGACCTTACGTTTTTAAACGACAATCGGTTATGTTTTACCTTGTTTTCTAGATATCCAAAGCCGAAGTTCGTTTTCATTTAGCTATAATAATTGTTGCTGCCGTCTGTGACTCTAACTGTTCGCATGTTCGTTCCTAACTGTCCTTTATAATGTTATCGGCACAATGAAAGGAAACAGTCTGCGTTTTTTTAATTTTCTTCAGTAGTATGGACAACACTATCCCACCAACGAGTCAAACTAATACAGAGTGCCCAGCAGTA